TACTTAGTGAACTCATTTAATTCCACTCCTGTAACCTTTATTCATGTATAAATTTTTATGGAAACTGATTAACATTTACCTACTAAGGATCGTTTGAAAACTTTTGTTTTAAAAAGCCCAGCTGAACCAAACTTAAGGCAGTACTCTTCAGCGGGGTGCCAAGTATCAAAGTTGGCCAGAGGCTTCAAAAATGTTCTTTGAGCCAACAAACAAATCCAAAATATCAAAGGGTTGCATTGAAATAAAAAGCTCACTTCACTCAGTCAGCTAAGTCTATCAGGGAACATTTTGTATGGATATTTCCCCACTAAGTACTCTAAAATGGATTCAGAGTTGATTTCATAAAACTGTAATGGCAGACTTACAGGCTTGGAACTTGGTGGCTTGTAGTTGTGGGTGTACTGGTAAATGTTTAATAACTGCACAATACAATTTTAAGTTTATCTTGCTTTACTAACATTTTCTGAATCAGACAATCAACGTATCAGTAAATCGAGTCCAGATTGTAGCATCTGGTGTTTCCTGAGGTGAAAATTCTCCCACTGAACATATAACAATATGCTTCCCCTGGTTCAGACTGGTATCAGTATACACCTGCTTTTAGTTTTTAGAAGCTCCGTGAACCTAGTAACATGTAATCTCTTAAAAAATAGCATTTGGAGAAGCTCACCATTGAGAAGGAATCTCTCTCTACTTTAAGCTCTTGGCATGAAGAACTTCATCCTTGTTGTTGGTGAGCACTCCTGAATTCCTCAATTGGTGTTGATCCTTATCACTGTGTTGAACAAATTAATCAATAAATCAATCAACAGGGGTTTTATGAGCCCCACTTTTGTGGCAAGCATTGTGCTAGGTGCCGAGGGATAAGTATACACTAGTGAGACAGTCTTTGCTCTCAATGAACTTATAATCTAGACAACAAACATACATAAACACGGTGTATAGAGCAAAATACAGGGTGTCCTCAAAGTCTTAGTGCAATTTTAAGAAACTTTATTTTAAATTTTTTTAAAAACTCCTCTAAGTAGAAAGGAGTGAGCATTTAGATAGTGCTAGGCACTATGGTAATCAGCAGATTTGAATTCAGAACTTCCTGACTTCAGGCCTAGTACTGTATCTGTTGTGCCACCAGCTGTCTCTAATACTTTGGGTACACCCTTTATACTATTATATACACACTAAGTATATATTTTTAGCTTATTTTGTAAAATACATATTTATAATATATTTACATAGGACTATATATATACACAGCCAGGTGGTTCAATGGACAGAGTGCCAGACTTGGAGTCAGGAAGACTCCTCTTCAAATCTGGCCTTAGAAACTTACTAGCTGTGTGACCCTGGAGAAATCACTTAGCTCTGTGTGCCTCAATTTCCTCATCTGTAAAAATGAGCTGGAGAAGGAAATGGCAAACTACTCCAGTATCTTTGCCAAGAAAATCCCTAAAGGGGTCACAAAAGTTGGACATGACAGAAAAATGACTCAACATCAACATACACAGAATAAAGCTACATCCATATAAAGCTGATTATTTTGTGCTTTTCAAATGGATGTTGTTATAGTTAACTTTTTCTTAAATGATAATAGTACTGTGTTCGTAATGATACTGAGAACTTTGTGGCAGTCTAGATTTATTCTTTTCATGTGTTAATTCCTTTAACAAGTCTTTAGTGAAAAGTGCTACAGTGTATTTAATGTGGCTGGCAATATTTGTAGGGCATAATGATATTGGAATTGCCTTTTAATTTGGTTCAGCAGTAAGAATTATGATTGTATTTTGGATCTGATTCTGAAAAGTATCTTTATGGCTTAATTTTTAGTCAGCTAATGTTAACGCTTTTAAAGAAGATACATCTTTTGGAGCAGATTCTTTAAATGTATACTATATATTCTCAGATACAGAAACTTTTATTATTAATGTTAGCACAGAACTCTTCAATGGACAGGAATCCAGATGAATCACCATTAGCCATTTTTTTTTTACTGTAACTGGATGAAAATGTGCTGGGTTTTTACTGTTCAGCTGAGAATACTCTGATGAAAAGCAAAACACTAAAGCCTGTAATTAGCTTTTTTATATTTCTTTCTTCCCCTTTACAGTAAGTAATGTTCTTTAAGTTTCTTTCCTAGTTTGAAACTAGCAAAAATAATGCAATATTACTGGTAAAACTTGGAAAGCTGAATGAAGCTTGAGGTCATGAAAACAATTAAGCTATAATCACGAGGAACTTGATATATTCTGACTAAACTTTTATTATGCAATAATAATGAATGGAGACAATCCTGTCTTCCTACCTTTCATTCAGCTCCTATGTGAGCATAACCTATGGTGGCAGCAATAGCACTGATAATTGATTGCCCTGTAAAGATTACTTAGGTCAATATGTTGGATAGGAGCTATCTTTCCATGATAGAACTTTTTGTAAAATGGTCATCTTACATTTAATTCCACCTTAGATTATTATTTTTGCTTTTGCAATAGGCTAAATTTAAAGACACCACCAAACATAACCTTTCCTACTGATTGATTTCAGAACTTAATCCCTTGGAAAAGCAGATCCCTTAGTTATTTGGCCGAGGGCTTAGCTGTGGACTTTAATCTGGCTAGCTTCCCAATAAGAAACTAGGAAAATCTATAGATAATTTTTTCTCTTTGTTATGTCTTTTAGTAGCAAGATAAATTAATAGGGGTATGATATAAGAGAAATATAAGATATTATCCTTGTGCTTAAGTTATTGATTTTTCATAATAAATAAAACTTTTATTCTTAGCAGTTTGATGTGTTAACGCATTCATGTTAGTTTTGATAATTACTATGTACTGTACATGTGAATATATATACACATGTATGATTATATACACACATACCTATATGATTCATGTTGAACTATTATTTCTAAAACATTTAAAATGAACTTTGCTTATTAAAGATAATTTTGATGTCAAAACTTTTAATTCTTGAAATTAATTGTGGTGTCAATGAAAGATTATATTTGTATTGGTTTGAATTTTGATACTAGCTTTTGGGAGCCATACAGAAAGGGGAAGATCTAAGTGGGGTAAACAAAATGGGAAGGACAGAATTTTAGCAGATTATGTACAAGAATGGTGTACTCTATTGGTAGGGAATATGGTCATAATATCCTGAGTCTTCTTACTTTAACGTCTCTCTGAGAACTCACTTGGTCTGCAATACAAGCATTAGGTTGTTCACCTTGATGCTAACACTCTTTTAATTGTGTACCTGTTTGGTTTGTATAGTGACAAGGGGCAGAAAATAAGCAATAACCAAGGGAAATAGATGAAGTCTTGGTCATTGTTAGAGGTGAGGTGAATATGCTTAGTTCTGTTTGACTATCCTTCATTGGACAGTCAAACCATCCATTCACAATTAAAGAGCTTCATTGTTGCCTGGAGGTTAGGGTTATGGGTTACATACTGAAGTATGTAAAGTAATAGGTATAATTGTTTCAGACTATTAGTATTTCTATACTATAAAAAGGAGAGCATATTGCTATGTTGGCAAATTATAATAAACATACTTTTTATATTTATATAGATGAACAGGTGTAAATTTACCTTAATATAATATAAACAATGGACTCAATTTAACTTTGAAAATGTAAGCATATATTTCTATGTTAATTTCAACTATACTTAGTAATTCTGTTTGGGATGTAGATAAAGACTGAACCTGAGATTTTATTAATATAAGGAACTCCCAGATGAAGAAATTTCTTCTACTATTTCAGGTCATCACCTTTATGCAGTTTATAGTCTTAGAGAGTGACATAGAGCACTGAGGTTCAAATGACTTGCCTAGAGCCAAAAAGCAAGTATGTGTCAAATTAAGACTTGAACACAGTTCTTCCTGGCTGAGGAGAGAGCAAATAAGAGGAAGGAAAAAAGAAAATTTGCTTACAACATGCAAAGCTTTCTTCTAAGCACTGGGGATTTAAATAGAAAACCAAGATAACCCAAGCTCTTCAGGAGCTTCTATTCTAATAGAGACAATGACATCTCTTAGTCTGAAGGTTTTGATTGACTTCTTCCTGTAAGAAAGTCAGCTTAGTGAATAATTGTGTTGAGTTCTCACTTTAGATCACTTTTAAGATAAAACTGTATGTTTTATTTTATTTAGTTATTGATACTGTTGAAATAAATATTTTGTACATCAGTGATTTCATCAGCAAGAACATTTACTGGTATAAATTGCAAACCCTTCAGCACCTCTGGTCATTTGTGATTTTTGGCTATGGTCTTCCATCAGTTGTTCATAGAGGATCCATCCAATGCATTGGAGGCCTTCTTCTGGTTCTTTTTAATCACTGGAACTATATATCTATTGTCCTTTAGTCTTACTATGTAACTGGCCCAATTCCTTTTTTATTATGTGTTCTTGGCCTTGCGTTTTGTGCTGTATTGTGTAGAGAGAGCATAGTTGATGATATGCTGCATCCTACTGACACCAAATATGCATTTGCCAAGGCTCTTTGGGTTTCTTGCAATCTTGATGCTTCCAAGTTGTATAGCATCGACAGAATACTATTCATTTTAATGAGATAAACTTTTGTGCTAGCAAGCAGCTTAGTACTATTTAATGCATTATAAAATTTCACAAAGCTAGCTTTCCCCCCTTATTCAATGCTGGGCTCAGCTCAATATGATTTGCATATTACATAGATGTGACACATATGACCACACATATTATATATGTTTAGTTCTATCTCAAAACTCATTGGATCACTACATGAAGTTTTCTACATGGTCCACTCTCATAGATTCTTGTATATCTTTAGTTAGTGTTTGCAAGATACCTTGTGTGAAAGGTCTTCAGTACTGCATTTTGTCATACTGAGAAAATGCTTTTAAAACTTAATAAATAATAGAGCAAAAACTTATATTTTCCTGTATTTTTGTCCAGTTTTTATGACTGTGAAGATGTGGTTTGCTGAAGAAAACTTAAAAGTGTTCTGTTCTTATTTTTTCATCAAGGGCACACTCAGAGTATGCATAGACCATTCTTATAAGACTTCAGTTCAACTGAATTCAGCGGAGATTTATTAAAAGTCTACTACATTTGAGGAACCAGACTACATGCTGCAGATATAAAGGTGAAAAATGTACACCAAGGGGAGATAGGGGAGACATATATACACAGACATGCCTGCCATAGATATAGAAAGTCCTTTGGTTGTTGTTTCTGTAGAAACACCATTTGTACTACTTTCTATCAATTTTTTTATTGTGAATCTTGAAATTTTACCCTGTAGCATCTTTAAAGTCATGTTAGTATGAATTCCTCCTGTGCTTAATGCCATGGGGAAAATATGATGGGATGTTGGCCATGTTGCATCTTTTTGAATTTTTTCAATTTAAGGGGTGGCTCACTGAGTAGATTAGGAGGGAGGGCCATATCTGAAAATTAAGGTAATGTAAAACCAAAAGTTCTCAATAAAAATAAAGTCATAAAGATTTTAAAAATAACTGAGTGTAGTAAGAAAATCATAGAAGGCAGAATCCTTGACTTATTTTCCTGTTCCAGGAAACTAGTTTGGATAATTTCAGAAAATGTTTCCCCACATGATCTTCTTTTCATCCAGAGGACCCAGCAGGAATAGGCACTTCAGGAATCTGTGGGGTGCTTTTCCTTTTCCCTGCCATCTTAGACCAGATCCCATTGGAAGGATCCAGTAGTAGCTGGCGTTTCAGAAAGTCCTCACCTCCCAACCTTCCTTCAAGTATCCCCTTCTTATTCCCTCTTACTAGAAGGGTATTAGCTCTACCATTATCTCTCTAGAGTTCCCACTCCACAACAACCATCAGATATCCCCTTTCCAACAGTGATTGGCCAGGATTCTCCAAACACCCCCCCCCCCACACACACACCAGTCCCTTGCCTTGGTTACATTGCTTAGATGACCTGGGAGTCACCACATATAATACTAAAATTCTAATATATGTTATACACTCAATTAGAAGTAAATTCCTTAAGAGCAGGGACTCTTTAGATTTCCCATTTGGTTAGAAGAGTGCTTGGAACAAAGTATTTGCTTACCATGTATTTTTTTTCCATTTATTAACTCCACTTCCCTAAACAAGTTTCCACTGATATTTTAACTTAATTGCCCTCTATTCCTCTGAAAACTTTTATTCCATTAATGTCATAACCAGTTTATTTCTCCACCACTGATGTTTCTGCAGTCTTTGTTTCTCTCTGTTGAGATAATCTGATCAATCACAGAATTTGCTTTCTGATTAATTCTAGAGCGCACATTTTTGGGAAGGTAGAATATTAAAGAAAGTTCTATTTATGGACAAGGTAGGACTTGAATATCCATTCCTTTGATTTAGTGGATTAAAGTCTTTATAAGGCTTGTTAAAACTATCATGAAATAACTTGGAGGCTACATGAAGAAGTGATTTAAGATCCTGAGATCCAGATTCTATTTCTGGCTTTGCTATGTAACTGCTGAATGACCTTAGGTGAGTCATTCTTTGTTCCCTTATCTGTACATAAGGGAGTTAGATTAAGTGAGCTTTTCAGGATAATTCTGTCTCTGAAATTATATACTTCCTTTACAATTGCAGGAGATATGGAAATGTTACAAGGATTTGCAATACTACTCATTCCCTGTTTTCATTACTAGAAAAAAAATCATGAAGACAGCCAGCTAGATTTTCAGAAATTGGTTTTTGGTATTATTAAGGAATTTACTGGTTTTTTTTTTAAAGCTATGGTAGTTTGCAGAGAAAGGACTGATGATCACTTAAAGGGTCCTTATCTGTCACCACAGGTGTGTGGGAGTGAATCCCAAAAGAGGTCACATGAAATGAAGATATGACATAACACTGCTGACTCATTCCCTTACCAGGAGAGGGTGAGAGGATTTAAAGCATTTTTTTCAGGGAAAGTCTTCATAAATAAATTCCCTTGACTCTCCTATTTTTGTTTCAATTGACTTATTAGAAGTAGTGAGTGTGACACAAGATAGTTTTAGCCTAGCAGGAATGGCTGATTTGTCAGTATTTTACCCGCTTCCCTGACTTGCAGTGTACTTGTATAGGAAGTCATTTACCTTTAAATGGAGACTGCACTTTGGAGTAGCAAAATTGACAGGATGCCAACAAATGTCCTCCAGCAGAGGAGATGACAACTTGAGTTAGAAAGTGAAAGCAAAATTAACCAAAGATTTTAAAAAAGACAAAAAAAATTAAGTGTCCAAAAGAAACTGAAGTCATGGATATGCTGCAATGCAGATAAACACAAGCTGATAAAATTTTGTCAGCCACAAAAAGAGGCAATGCTGAAAAATCTAAAAGCTGTTGGATGATGGCATTGGTTTGTATTCTTTTTGTAATTAAAGATAAAACTTTCATTCATTCATTCATTCAACAAGTTTTTATTAAGAGCCCACAATGGGCCGACTACTGTATTAAGGGCTGGGATGCAAAGATATAAGTATAACTACAGTCCCTGCCATCATGGAGCTCATATTCTTTGGGTGGAAAATGATGCACATACAGATAAGCATGACATATACACCAAGTAAAAGAAATTTGAGAGGAGGTCACTAATTAACTGATTGTCACTAATTATTGGTCAGAGCACTTGAGCTCAAACTTGAAAGCAGCCCCTTGGGATTCTAAGAGGTAGAGACAAGGAGAGAAGGCATTCCAGGGATAGGGGGCCAACTGTTCAAAGACCAGGAAGTAAATGAACAAGTTGTTGTTCAGCCATTTAATTGTGCCTGAATCTTTATGACCCCATGAATCCTACCATTCATGGTGTTTTCTTGGTAAAGTTATGGGAGTGGTTTGCCATTTCCTTCTCCAGTGAAATGAACAAGTTTTGTAGACCACTTAGAGTAGGACATGAATGCATACAGGGGAGTAGTGTGCAAATAATAGGCCTAGAAATAATAGGCCCCAGATTTGAAATTCCAAATAGAATTATTTTAGGAGTAATAGGGAACCCTTGATGCTTCTTGAGCTGAGGCGTGATATGGTTGGACCTCTGCTTTAGGATTATCAAGTTAGTAGCTGTGTGGAAGATAGATTGGAGTGGGGAGATGTAAGGCCAGAAGACTAATGAGGTTTTGTTGTCGTCCAGATAAGAAATAATCATTCAAAAATGGTTTATTAAGTGACTACTAACAAATGAGATATTTGCAAAAAAAAAAAGTTTAAAAAACACTCAACATAGTGCCTGACACATAGTAGGCATCACCTAAATGCTTGTTCCCTCTTTCCATCCTCTCACTCCCTTATACCCTCTCATAGTATATGCCAGGAACAAAATAGGTCTTAGAGACACGGCAAAAAAAAGTTGTTACTCTTGTTGAAAACAACTCTTGCTCTCAAGAAATATTTTAGTGGGGAAAAACAGCATGTGCATAGATAAATGTACACAAAATAAATGAAAAATAAATCCGAGGCAATTTGTGGGACTCAGGTAACGAGGCTATCTGTGGTGTGGCCCTGTAAGTGGAGAAAGGGGAACAGAAGGCAGATTTGGCAAGGCCTGGCAACTGATTTGCTATTAGGGGTGAAGGAGAGTTACAAAGTCAAGGATAACCAAAGCTGCAAACCTGGTTGACTAGAAGGGTGGTGGTACCTTACTGGTATTATATTTTGGGGAGAAAAACAAACACATGCTGGCTAGTCTACCTTTTGAGTTAACACCATAGCTCAACAGATGCCAGATCATTACAATGAGGATGATGCTCTTATGAAATAATGGGAGGGGGAAGATGGCTTAGTTTGCTGGAGCATTTGAAACTAATTCTAACCCTGGATGGTGACTGCCTTTCCATGCAAGAGGAATTCAGATTCAGCATAAATATTGAGGAAACCATTTGGGTGAACTATTATTCCATATTGTTATGAGCATATGAAGACTGTATTGCCTGAACTAAGTGTGTCTTTGAAATGCAAGTTTGTTGTTATTATGTAAATAGGGACTTCAAGTGCTCAGCTGTTTTCCCTAGGTAGAGACAAAGCTTGAATGGGAGGTCCAATAAGCTTTCTTGGTTTTCTCCAGCTGTCTTGGCAGTATGACTACCTGCAGAAGCCAATGAAATATGTAGGCTAGGTAGTCCCATCTTTGTCCAGAAAGATTACTTTTTAAAAACTGGGCTTGTGGGCATATTCATTAAAATAATTGGTTTTAGCATTCTCTGTATAAAAGGCCTTGGATTTAGTGCAGGAGTTTTTCTTAGCTGACATTCATATGTTACATTTTGAAAAAAATACCATAGGTAAAACAGGCTTCCTTTAAATGTGTGCAAAACACACATTACCACTATACTAAAATTAAAAATAGGAGAGCATCTTATTTATTTAATAGATATATGCAATGATATGGGACAATCGGAATAGATACTGAATTTGGAGTCAAACGACTAGGATTTGAAACCTGACTTTGCCATCCGATATCTGTGTGGTGAGGTGCTAGACAAGTAGCTTAACATCTCTGGGTCCCAGTTGAGTCATCTGTAAAGTTAGAAGGTTGGACTACATGACCTTTTCAGCTCTATAGACCTAAAAGCTAGTCACAGATCATTTGATCATACACAACGCTGAAGGTCATGCCATCATTTTACAGATGAAAAAAAAATAAAGCCCAGAAAGGTTAGAGATCTGCTTTGCATCACATGGTAGTGGCAGTCAATGTCTCATTTTCAAAACGTTTTCCACCATAGAACTCAGGGTTACTAGAAATGGGGTGAGAGTGGTTAGGGAGCTTTTTTTAAGTTTTAAAGGACTAGATCAAGTTCCATTCCCACCATGGCATCTCTTTTGATCACCCCAGCCTTCACTGATCTTCTAAACTCTTAGAAGCACTTACAGTCTGAACTACTAGGTTCAGCACCTATCCACAGTGTTTTTCTTTTGTTACTTTCCCCACATATGTTAATTTTGTTTCACCAACTGACAGAACAAGGCTGAAAGTGATATTTGCATCTGAGTGCCTGACATGAACTCTGGATGTTTTGTTGACAGTAGTTCCTTCTTGGTCCACCAGCAGTAAAGAGGAAAAGGTAATAACAGAGGAAGTTGCAGAAAAAGGTAACTGGTGAGCCCCCCATGTCACCT